GTTCTGACTCACAGACTGTAAGTACGTTTTTTTATATTTCAAGAGTTTTTATATTTTATATATTTAAAGCGAGTTTTTGGGCAGTGTAGAGTAGTGCTTGTTGTTTGTCATTTCTCCGATCACAAATGCAGACATGGTTTTATGTTTACGCGGCGCGATGCAACGCAACGCGTAAAAAGACAGTATAAGTCATTATAATCCATAATTATGTCCCCACTGGATGCAACGAATGCCTCGTTTATAATGGGTTTTCATGTTTCTGAATCATCGCTCCGGCCTGACAGGGCATCATAACAGTATGGTAGGGGCGTAACATTTCCATCTCACGCTTGAGGTATTCGACCAATCACAACGCACTGGATAGCTGGCCAATCACAGCACACCTCGCTTTTCAGACCGATGAGCTTTGTAAAAATCGACGCGTTTCAGAAAGGCGGGGCATAGAGGAGAAACAATAATGTACAGTATGTGGAAAATAATGTGTTTTTTGAACCTTAAACCCCATAAACACATTTCATTACACCAAATACACCAAATAATGTTCTTTTTAGCAGCATCATATGACCCCTTTAAAACTAACATATTGATACTAACATCCAAAAGATCTTTAAGCTTTCAATGACTATACAGGCAGTATAAGCCAACTGCATTATATTATATACAATTGTGCTTTGTGGCCAACAAAGACAACATTGAATGGGCTAATTAACTCAGAAGATACACTGCATTTTTCCAGGAAACTGTAATGCCCAATATCATTAAGAGTCTAAAGACTTTGTTCTCACCTCTGTATCGGCGGCTTTACAGAGGATGTCAGATTGATAGTGTCCTTGGTGATCTCCACTTTGCGGACACTTCCAAAAAAGTCAGTGATGAGGACGCTCCCGGGATTCCTCTGGAACAGGTCAGTACGGTGACCCGGAGTGGACACACACTGACTCTGTGGGCACACCTTAAACTGAAACAAACACGCAACTATCAGTCAAATGAGACTGAGACACACAAAGAGATTAATTACGGGTTGCCAAGTTCTAAGAGCACGTTCATTCCCAAATGGATTTGCAGTTTAATAGAACTGCAAGCTGTCAGAAATGAATACAAAGAAAAATAACAAAAATTACCATTTAAATAACATCTGTTCCTGCACATTCAGCCATGGTGTGCAGGAAAGTGTCATTAATATGTGATCTTGTGAATTCTTACAAAAACAGACTCTAAAGATTCATGAGAATCAGCTTGCAGATGAAACATGGACATGAAAAAAGCAACCAGTAAAAGCTGTTGAAACCTCAAGGAGGATTTCAAAATCATTTTCATTTAAAAAATATGGAACAAGTGTAATTCAAATGCTACCCTGTATACATTCCATTCTAAAGGATTTAACATTTGTTTCTCAATGTGTCCACATTCTGTGAGGTTTGGGCCATTATATAAACATTTAATACATCTAAATGTGGGACTTTTTACTCTTAATCCACCCTAAGCTCTAAAATCATCCTTTTTACTATGACCTCAAGATGAAATATTTTAAGACACAATCCTGTCCAGCTGGAATGAGGCGTGTGTCGACATTAAACTGCATTCACCATTCACAATTCATTTTTTTCTCTTCCATAACATGACATATTTCACTGAATATTCTGAAACTGAATATTCAATGAGATTCAATAATGTCTGATTTTATCCACTGAGAAATGACTGGATTGTGAAAGGTGGACTTTCTGTATCAGAATGGAGCCAGACCAGAATGCGAGTTTACAGTTGATTGTGGAAAGAATGGAAATTTTGACCTGCTGGGAACCGAGATCATGACTGGGAAATGGAGACATTTGTTTTCCCTCTGGAATAGCATGTGCATATGAATAATGCACAATAAGACCAGTAATGTGGACTAAGATTTTTGATTTAACAGGAACATGTACAGAGGCATATCAGCTTACAATAACGACTGCATAGTTTAGTCCGCATCACTGTAAACAAGCCAATATAAAACTATTTTAAAATAATTCAAGCCTACCTTATCAGAATCATTTAATACAATTTACCAAAAACATCAAGAGGTCCTTTGAAAATGTTTGTTAAATGCATGTTAAAGCATTTGAGAATTAATGCAATAAATAAGCTTATTAAATTCATAAGCTGCAACTGCTAAATCAACAAAAAAGACAATAAATTAGGATTAAAGACCAAGTAATTTAGTAAATTATTGACTATTTGGATGTTAATGAAAAGACCAGCACCATCCAGCAATTCCATTATGAACACCTAATTAAGCCTAATTAACATCAACAGAGAAATAATAATAATAAATAATAAAAGTGAACAGTGATGTGACATTTGCCCTTTACACTACTGTTCAAAAGTTTGGGGTTGGCAAGATTTTTTAATGTTTTGAAAGAGGTCTCTTATGGTCATCAAGGCATTTATTTGATCAAAAATATAGTAAAAACAGTAATATTGTGAAATATTATTACAATTTAAAATATTTT